CATTCCCATTTGAGAAAAAGAGTATGGCAGAGTTAACAGCACCTGAGCGACCTGTAAAAAGAAAAGACTTGAACAAAAGTGATGGGTTTTTGTGGGATTGGTAAGTTTTGAAGTTTTGGGACCTGATTTGATGCACAATTGAACCAGGCGTCATAAACAGAGCCTCCATGCCAGAGGAGGCTTTTGAAGCTAAATGGTAATTGATTCGTCTTATCTTCTCGATCGCTCTCATTTGATTCAACCATGGTTTGATTCTGCCCTGAGAAACTGGCTTGTTCAACCTGTTTGGATATTGTCATGTTCTTGATGGATCTAGACAGAGAGGACCATAAAAATCGAGCAAAAATTTAAACTTTTGAGGACCCAAATAGGGGAAGGAAAGGAGAGTTGACGAATTAAAGGAAAATACGCAGCCAAAAAGGGAAAAGAAACAGAACGCATTACAAAGGCACCAGCTACCATATCTGAGTATCAATCCCGATATTAATTGCTAGCGGCCGCCGGCCAACGCAGACCGGCGGCATGCACAGCTAATCGAGATGGCTTTCCATATCATGAAGTTTAGTTAATTAAAGGGATAATAAGGTCGCGTTTGGGGCACACGAGAAAAACGGTTATCGTTTTCTGGGCCAGCTAGGATTGCGGTTGAATTGAGTTGGGCCGTTTCTTGGGCTTTGTTCACTAAAGCCCAATCAAACTGAGATACAGTGTTATTTAAAAATAATATATTTTTTTAACAATGGATCTTAATGGAATTTTTATGACAAAAATAATTTATAAAAACACTTTAGTTTCATAAAGTATGTGACGTGGAAAATACGTAGAGTACCAAACATATTGCATGGTTGCACAATAGTATGTCGTACTGGTAGTGGTTTCCATACGAGCCTCCAACTTCAAATACAATTATCGTAGAGTATTATTCAGACTTCTTTTTATTATAATGTATAAATGAATATAGAAATTTGAATCTCTGACCTCGAATGATATAACATATGATACTTATCGTTGAATTATCTTTCATTTTAATTTTTAAGTACTATCAAATGCATCGGATTCGAAAGAGTATTCCACAGGCTCTTTTCATTCCAACCATTCCCCAATAAATGGCTTAGGCTTCAAGGAACTTCACCTTCTAATTCACTCAACAACCTCCCCTTCATCCAAATTGCTATGCCATTTTCGGAACCATTTTATCTCCAGCTACACGAATATATAAGATCATTGACTGATTTTTTTGCAGTTTATTTTTACTTGGCTTGAATTTTATTTAAATTATTCCAGTTTAACAGCTGGGATTCGAATCTTTAAAGATTTTATTTTAATTTATGGTGGCTTTGATTTTTTATTTTCGATATAATATTCCTTTTAACAATTAATTTACAATTACCATCGAATTAACCACTAAATATTTTTATTTATTTATTTATTTATTTTTGCTAATTTTGTCATATAGAATTAAAATTTAATGCCCCATTTTCAGGCGCAACATGTGTTCGGCTGTTTTGAATCATCTCTAAAGTCAACAAAACTACACGCCGCATGTTCCACAGCCCCCAACATTTTTTTTCACAATTTTTTTTTTTTTTTGAAATTTGTATAATAAATATAAATAAAGTACGTGGCATAAGCTCCCCGTGATTAGATACTTGATATCGATTAATGAGGATTTATGGGATAAGTTGGTCAGCTTTAAGGCCTGTATAATGACGCTATTAAATAAATTAAAATAGCTTATGAGTCGATTACTGTTTAATATTAATTTTGACGTGTAAGCCAACACGCCGTTTCTAAATCCATCTGTACAGCCACGTGGGACAATTGGCGTGGCCTTTTTGGCACCGCCTGTGCAGTCAGATATGTCCGCGTGTGATCCGACAGCTGGAATTGATTATCAGTTGGCGGAACACGTGATCGCCATACCACGTGTCGGCAACCGAACATGCGTGATTTGTGATTGCAATTACTTAGTTGGCGGGAGAGAGAGGAAAAGAAAAAGAAAGCGATCCGAGTCAGACACCAATTGGGAAAGCTCGAAGTGGGTGGCTGGTATCCGAGTCAGTAAGTTTGGCGAATAGTAGTTTGACACGTGGTGTTGGTGTAATTTGATTGGAATGGGCGGTAATGGAAACGCAGAAAAGCACGTCGTTTTGGAATCCCATTTTTTATTTTATTTTTTGAATGGGAACCCATTGTCCATTATTTCACTTCTTTCTCAATACCATTTGCATATTTTCAATATTGGATATGTTTCAGCACATTTGTCCCATTAAAAAATAATTATTTATTACTATTTAAATCTTTAATTTCTCACATTTTGTATATAAAAAAAAAAAAGGATTCTGGCTGGAATTTTATTATATTTTTATGAATATAAATAATAAATAAAGAATACGTGTGTTTTTTGTGAAATAAAATTATATATTTTTTTCATCCCAAAATATTATTTTGTGGCATAAAGTTTTTGGTATTGGAGCTCACATCCAATCCGTTCAGCTATAGTTATCCAAAGGAATTTTTGGTGGATAAGAAAATAATTGAAAAGACTTAATTATTTATTGTTAACAACTGGCAAACAATAGTAATGGTTAAGGTTTTTTTTTTTTTTTTTTTTTTTTG